CCATGTGTTGCTGGCCACTGTGTACTGCAAAAACTGGGCACTGTAGCCCTCACTGCGCAATGGGTTACGAATTGAGCTCCTAACGGCGAGGTTAGCAGTTTGAAATCACTAGCCTCTCCAAGGGAGAAAGATGAGGTCTTCTACTCCCATAAGGAGTTGCAGTCTCAGCAGTCTCAGAAACTCACAGCAGGACTATTCCACCCTCGTCTGTAGGGCCACTGTAAGTCGAAACTAACTGGATGGCAGTGAGCTTGGGTTTCTGATTGAAGCCTTGCACTGCAAAAACCTGCCAAAAGTCACAAGCACACTGCCACCAGAAAGCGGAACCTCTCCCTCCTCCAGTGTCTCTGTAGTGCCCTCTACTGGCAACATTTAGCATTGTGCTGGCAGTCCAGGAAAAGTAGTTACAGGGTTATAGTGTCACCTGTCGGGCAGCTAATCTAAAGATCAGCAGTTCGAAACTACCCACCATGTTATGGGGGAAAGGTGCGGCTTTCTACTCCCATAAAGATTTACAGTCTTGGAAACCCACAGGGGCAGTTCCACTCTGCCCGATAGGGTCACTGTGGGTCAGAAACAACTTGATGGCGATGAGTTGGTTGTTGGTCTCATAAGTGCAGAACAGGCAATGAAGATGCTTTGGGAACTGAAGGACAATAATTGATAACTGGCCTATGGCCAAAAGGGCCTGCTCATCTAGCAGGCGGGTGTAGACCAGAGGGAATAGATTTATTTTGTTAGCTGTTAGAGACAGGAGTCTAAAAGGTCTCCGTGGGTTAGAACTCTCACCAAATCCACCAAGCTGGTGTACTTGTTTGTAAATGTACAGTTCTACACGGTTCATATTTTGGTGTTCTACATAATTTCAGTATAACTTTAACTACTTTTTGTCGGTATTCATTCATCCACAGGACTTTTTGACAAAATTCGAATCTCCTACACATATTTTTCTTTTTATCTTTCTTTTTTTTTTGTTTTTTTTTTGTTTTTTTTTTTTTTTTTTTTTTTTTTTTTTTTTTTTCTGTTTTTTTGTGTGTTTTTTTCTTTTTTTTTCTTTCTTTTTTTTTTTCATATTTTTCATTTTGCTTTTAGTTCACAGCTAACTGTGGACAAACTAAAAAGACAATGAGTGCAAGGAAGATTATTAGGGCAGTTACTATTTGGGATTATTTCATAGAATGAAATTACTCCAAAAACAGTTTTCAATAATATTAATTTTACCTTTTGTAGCACACCTGATAATTGATTAAGGTGCCCAGGTAGCATAATAGGTTACTCATAATGGGTTACTCATAATGGGTTACTCATAATGGGTTACTAACTGAAAGGCCAGCAGTTCAAGCCCACTTGCCATTCTGTGGGAGAGAGATGAAACTATCTCCTCTCATAGAGATTGGCAGCCGTGGGAATCTGCAGGGTTTTCTACCCTGTCTTATCAGGTCACTATGAGTCAGAATCGAGTCGATGGCAGTGAGTGTTGAGTTGTAATTCATTTCAACACGTGTGTGAAAAACCTGCCTCTGAAAACTTCCAGTCAAGATACGAAGTGCCTTAATCCTAAGAGGACTGTCTGATTTATGCATCATTTTATCATCATTGCCTAGCATAGTGCCTGACATATAGTAGGAATTCTGTATTTGAAACAGGATTGAAGATCCTTTCAACTCAATCAGATGTTCCCTACAACCTTACAAAATCAAAAACTGTACACCAAGACCATGCAAATATTATTCTGCCAGATTTTTGTCTCCTAAAAGGTGTGTTGTTTTCACAACCAGTCAAGATGGAGACAAAGGGGTGCAGAGTGGTTGTTTGAATGTTCTGAGAAAGGGTCTTTCTGAAAGACTCTCACATTGGATAAAGAGTGAGTCTATTCAAAAATCCCAATATTTTGAAAATACAAAATGATGAACTGGGAAAGTAGCCAATTAGAAAACTCAATCACAGGGAAAATTATTAACTCAAGATTGGACATTATGGGAAAAAAATATGGAGTAACCTACAACAGATTTCCATTGACCTCATGTTTCATTATCAAATTTGGTTTCATATAAAGGAGAAACATATTACAGTAGTAGGGAATTTGATTTCTTGATAGAATTCATGTTGATCCAGTGTTATTTTCTGCCTGAAACGCTTTCTGAACATGGATTCTTGAATGAACCAACATTGTTTACAGATGATATGAAAATACTGATTTGTACACATTACTCATAAGGATCTTTCAATGAAGTATAAACTGCCACTGTACAAGGTTCTCAGCCTTAGTCTGAATGTTTTATCATTGTGAAAATTAAATTTGGAGAAACCTACTTACAAAATGGGCTCACAATGCAAGAAAGAGTTATTTAACAATAGCTCACTGCCATCAGTCGATGCTGACTCTTAGCAAGAACCTATAGGACAGGGTAGACCTGCCCCCTCTGAGTTTCAGAGACTTTAACTCTTTAAAGCAGGGGTCCTCAAACTTTTTAAACAGGGGGCCAGTTCACTGTCCCTCAGATCCATTGGAGGGCCAGACTATAGTTTTAAAAAAAAACTATGAACAAATTCCGATGCACACTGCACATATCTTACTTTGAAGTAAAAAAACCAACAGGGCATTAACACCCGGCGGGTCAGATAAATGTCCTAGGTGGGCCACATGTGACCCGCAGGCCGTAGTTTGAGGACGCCTGCTTTAAAGGAGTAGAAAGCCCTGTCTTTCTCCTGGTGCGGCTGGTGGTTTGGAACTGCTGACCTTTGGGTTAGCAGCCCCACTCGCAACCACTACATATAAAAACCACTGGGATTGATTTTTTTTCAAAATGGATCCATGAAGGAAGTGAACAAAGTGATAAGCTTCGATGCCTAGCTACGTTTTCAGTTTGCAGAACCAGGCTAAATTCGACTTACAGAAGTTGTCCTGGGACTATTTCATTAGGCTCCTGTGAATCTTATGGTTTCTAGTACTTGAGATGTTTCAAAGTCATTGGTGACGTATGTGAAATTCTCAATAGAGATGACCCAAAGTCAAAAGTTTTCTACATCATCACTCACTCAGTACATATTAATTATTGAGGGCCTCTTCTGTGCCAGGCAAAATACAGGGTCCTAAAGCTAATAATATGTAACTGTTTTCCTTAGACAGTTGGTCTTAGTGTCTAGCACCATAAAGCATCTTCTTAGTGTGTTGCTGTACACATATATCGAAGCGGTGGTTGAAAATAAAGCTATAGGACCACCACTATATTTCAGTTCGTGTTAGGATCTGGATCTACAGTGTAGATAGCTTCATCATACGAGCATCTGAAGAACATTAAAGATGCTGTTGTCATCACCCCCACTGAGCTGAACTTTAGGAAGTAGCCAACTTCGTGACTTGAAAGAACTTTAGAAATCAACAGATCAGGTTTCCACTTCTGGCCAAGACGGAGGTAACAAACTATAAAACACAGGCGAGAGAAACTGAGGAAGACTGAAATAAACGGAGAGCTACACCCTGTCCGCGGCTCAGAAGGCTGGATTGATGTTTTTTAAATGTCGGTTCTCTCCAGATTGATTCATGGTTTCAATGTAGTCCCAATCAAAGTATCAGCAGGGTTTGGTTTGTTTATGGAAATTGATAAGCTAATTCAAAATTTATAGGAAAATTAAAGGACCTGAAGTGGTCAAAACAACTTTTAAAAAGAGCAAAGTGGAACAACAAAGATATGTCAACAAAACAGATCTGATTTCAAGAGCTATTATTATAGATCTAAGAGAATCAAGACAATGTGGGTGGTGTTAATGTAAAGATATCTAAAGGATAGAGAATCTAAGAGAAGACCTGCAAGTACATGGACAGGTTCTTTTTCACAAGGGCAATGCAGCAGACAAAGAGGTGGGGACAAGTCAATATCAGTCTGTACAAAGAAATGAATTTCAATCCATCTATAAGAATTTACTCAAAAATGGATCAGGTGTTGAAATGTAAAGTTAAAACATCACGTCTTTCAGAAGAAAACACAGGAGGAAATCTTCATGACCTTGAGTTAGGCAAAACTGCTCACCTGCAGCACCAAAAGTAAATCAGAAACTGAAAGTGGATGAACCAGACGTCATCAAACCTCACGTCTTTTCTTTGAAGATAGGATTAAGAGAATAGACGAGAGAAGTCACAGACTGAAAGAAAATATTGTCAAAGCATGTGTATAATAAAGGGCTTATATCTAGAATATATTAATTTTTTTTATAACTCACTGCCATCGAGTCAATGCAGAGTCACAGTGACCCTGTATGACAGGGAGAACTGCACTCGGCATAGAAAGCCCCCGTCTTTCTGGTGGTTTCAAACTGTGACCCAATGGTGAGCAGCCCACTGCATAAGTACTACGTCACCAGGGTTCCTAGAATATATAAAGGACACTGAATCATCAGTACTTTAAAATAATTTTCATGGGCATAAATCTTGAATAGACATCTCAACAGAAAATATATAAAGATGGCAAATAAGTATCTGGAAATTTTCAGTGTCATTCGTTCCATTACAGAAAAGTAAATTTAAAGCCACAGTGAGATACAACTTCATGCCTATTTGAATGGCTAAAATTTAAAATGCGAACCACAGCAAGTGTTAGTAAGGATGTGGAAGGACTGGAGCAGGCCTACATTGCTGGTTAGAATATAAAATTGTACCACTGCTTCAGAGAACAGGTTAGCAGTGTCTTTTTAAAAAGAAACCATATCAAATATGATTGATGAAATGATCTTTAAAAAAATTAACCATGTATCTGCCATATAACCCAGCCAGCCATTCCACTTGCAGGTATTACCCCGAAGAAAGGAAAGTATAGCCCATACAAAGACTCTTTGTTACCAGTAGTCATAAGGAGGACTGACTTGGGTTCCTAGCAGTTTTATTTTGTACCAGCCAAACACTGGAAGCACTCCAAATGCTTATCATTAGAGGAAGAAGATATGTCCAGATTGTGGTATAGCCAACTGACGGAATACTACTCAGAGTAAAAAGGAAGGGTCTAATATGCACAACAACATGAAGGGCTCAAAGCAATTGTGCTACATGAAAGAAATGAGACAAAAGAGCACCTACGGTATAAAATGGTAGAAAATTTGAACTAGTTGGTCTTGATCAGTATTTTCTTTGGAGGTGTTATGAAGGGTAAAGACAGTCCAAAGGCATCATCCAATTTGGAGGATGATGGATAAATTCACTATTTTAGTGGTGCTCATGGAATAGTGATGGAGTAATGGTTACACGTTGAGCTGCAATCTGCAAGGTCAGCAGTTCAAAACCACCAGCGGCTGTACTGGAGAAAGATGGGCTTTCTACTCCAATAAAGAGGTACAATTTCGGCAACTCACAGGGTCAGTTCTACCCTGTCCTATAGGGTCTTTATAAATGGACTCAAGGCAGTGAATTTGGGGATTTGTTTGGTTTGGATGGTTTCATGGGTATATAACTACATCAAGCCTTTAAAATGTTTTGTTTTAAATATGTGAAGTTTATTACATGTCAGTTGCATCTCAATAAAGAAGTTCCTGAATGGTGCAAACAATTAACACAGTGTGGGTTGCTAGCTGAAACGTTGCTGGTTTGGGTCTATGCAGAGGCACCGAGGAAGAAAGGCCTGGTGATCTATGTAGAGAAGAATGATGTAGGGATGGCATCCGACCACCTCAGCTTCACAAGGGGAAGGAAAAGCCCCATCATAAGCATCAGCTGGCCAAGGCCAATGCTGATGGGGCTGAGATCAGACGTGTCTCCGCTCTCCAGTCATCCCTCCCAGGGCACTCGGCTTCTCAGCTGGGTTGGATAATTCATTGCAATGGTCACACCCAACTCACAGACAACACTCATGATTGTGGAGTTTATTGATAAAGTTAACAGCATTTAAATGCGCAGGCGGGACAGTCTCTTCTCAGCTATGCTCACAGGCAGGCCATATGGCATCGGAGCCACACAGCCTCTGCCCTGCTCAAGCAATATTACAGAGCTCTTTTATGGCTGTCAATAAATGCCCAACAAGCCTCAGCCTTCAAATGTGCCGCTCTCTATTGGTGGGTCAACAAACCTAGCTTTCCCAGTTAAGTGCTTGGGGGAGGTTCCCCATGCCACCAGCAGCCTCCTCCTGCCCAAAGACACTCAGCTTCCCTTGGTCCATGAGGTGGGGAGTCCACTGCTTGATCACACACTCGGGCTCCTGGTTCTGCTGCTGTGGCTCCGCTGGGCGTCAAAGCTGTCTCCTGGATCCAGAAGGCTTAATGGACAGGATTCTCCGGGTCCAAAGGGCACCCTCCACTCCTGGCATTTCTTTCCTGCTGGTAGAGAGATCTGCCCTCCTTCCACAGCCTGCACCTGAGATGGCTCATTTTATACCCAGCAGGGTGGTACTCATAATTAACCCTGTCAACAACTACAACTAAATCCTATTAGTATTTTACCCACCATCTCCTCCTCATACCAGTCTGGAAATGTTCATTTGGTAAGAATAGGAAAACTATGGCTAGAAGAGTCATAACTAAATTGCAGTCTACTTCAAAAAGTATAAATCAACGATCACAGACTCTGTGGTACACAGCCCTACTTTCACCCCTGGGGGGAACCATGAATAAGAATCAGCTCCACAGCAACTAGTTTGGTCTTGGTGTGACTTCCGTGAAGATCTTTTACAAAGAGCAGTGTATTCAATCCTTTCACTCACAGCTGTCAAGGCGATTCAACTCAGGGGCACCATAGAACAGAGCAGAGCTGTCCCTGTGGGTTTCCAAGACTGTAAATCACTGCAGAACTAGAAAGCCTCATTTTCTCCCACTGAGTGGTGGTGGTGGTTTTGAACTGCTGAGCTTTTGGTTCAGCCCAACACGTGACCCACTCTAATACCAGGGCTCCCTGTCCAACCCAATACCCCATTTTATAGACAAGAAATTTGAGGTCTGAAAACAAGAGCACTTGTTCAAAGTCATATCACTGGTCCGAAGCAGAGGAGTTAATTAAGTCCATGTTGAAGCTTCTTAACAAAAACAGAAGAACTCCTGGCAGTAAATCGCTTTAATGTATGATCGATTAGACCACTCTCTCAGTTCATTCCCTTCTCTGTTGTGCCTATGCCTGTACTAAGTGTGCTTCGTAGTTTATTTATCTTTGAAAACCTGAATCTTGAGACCTTGAGCTCACTCTCCCATCAGATCACAAAGTTTTTTGTTTAGTTTAGTTTTTTCCTTCCTAAACTCTTGGTGTCCTCAAATGGATTGAATCACTTTGGGAAGGCTGGAGTGTTGTGTTTTTGTTTTTTCTAAAATTAAAAGGACCATCCTCACATTGGTTTTGAGCATTGTGGGGATTCAAACGTGTGCTGATTTTAACTAGACCCTTTCGTTTATTTAGGTCTGAATCGTTTGCTTACCAATGGCTCCTATGAAGCTGCATTTCCCCTGCATGAGGTATTGTCATCTCTTATCATCTTCTCTTAGTTCCAACTTCTTATTACTGAACTCAGCTTTGAGGGATAAAGCCAGTGAGCATGTTGATATGACATTTGTTCATAAGAACTTACTCTGTTCACTAGGTGTTTAGTGAAAGGCCGCCTGCCACTGGGAAGTCTCTCCCAGCACAGATTTTATTTCTGTCTCGTGGCATGTCATTGAAAAAGAGTGCTTGAACAAAAAGCCACTTAGCACGAATTCACAGGACTGTAAGTCATAAAATTAAAGAGGCATTAGACATTTGCATGAGGCATCAGACTCAGGGGAAACCGTTCTTGAAGTGTATAGCCCAGGCAGCAAAGAAATGCATAGCTTTGCCTTGAAACAGTGGAAGAAAATCATGTTGTAAAGTTGATGGCAGCCAGAGGACGAGAAATGGAAATTAATAGTATTTTACTCATTACTGCTCATCCAAGATGTATAAGTATTCTCCTTATTTACTGCATGATAGTCACCACATATAAATACGCTCATCAATGTAGTTGTGGATATGATTGTGTCTATTTGGAGATTGGATCTTGGATTGTAAAAGCTAGAGTTTGTTTACACATTTGTCAGGGATGTGATTCTCATTATTGGTGAGAGATCACTGTAAACCTCATGATATAAACCCGATTCTATAGGCCTCCCACGCTGTGGCATCTAGCATATGAAGATCAATGTCATGACTCCAGTTATCTGACATTGTTGTTGTTGTTAGATGCCATCCAGTCCATTTAAGCTCGTAGCGACCCTGTGCACAACAGACGGCAACACTGCCTCGTCCTGCTCCATCCTCACAGGGGTTCCTACCCCTGAGTCCCTAAGTGCAGCCACTGCGTCCGTCCATCTCCTGGAGGGCCTTCCTCTTTTGACTGCCCCTCCCCTTTACCAAGCATGCTGTCCTCCAGGGACTGGCCTCTCCTGACAATATGTCCGACGCATGTAAGACAAAGTCTTGCCATCCGTGTCTCTAAGGAGCACTCTGGCTATATTTCTTCCAGGACAGATTTGTTTGTCCTTTCAGGGGTCCATGCCACTTTCAGTGTTCTTCTGCAGCACCACAACTCAAAATGCATTCAACATACCATCTGATACAAATCAGCAGATTCAATGCCAAACTCACTGTCCTCCGGTAGAGTCGGACTCATCACAACCCTCTCAGAGGAAACAGAACCTCTCTTGGGGGTTTCTGTAACACCTTACAGGAGTAGAAAGCCTCAATCCTTCTCCTGCACAGAGGCTGGTGGTTTCAAACTGCTGACCTTGTGGTTAGCAGCCCAATGCATAACCCACTGCAGCACCAAGGTCCTTCTCACACTCACTAGCCCGATTGAAACTACTGTTAGATTGATCTTCAGCGCAGTCTTCTCTTAAAAAACAAGCCCCCAGTCATCAAGTCTATTCCAACTCATAGCGACCCCCTAAAAAGGCTTTCTGAGATTGGGGATCTTTCGGGGAGCAGTCTTCTCTTTCCCCTGCAGAGCCTCTGGTGGGTTAAAGAATTGACCTGTGGTTAGCAGTCCAGAGCTTGTGGGGTGGGGGCTGGGGGTGGAGATAAAAACCTTGATAGTCTACCAATTGCTATTTGAGAAATCCATCTGTAGAAGGCAAGTTCCTCCAAAATAAAAAACAAAAAATGTTTTGGTTGGATTACTATGTTTCTTCTCTTGATTTTAAAACAGAAGGAGGATATAAAAGGTGAGACCAAAGGTGGGGGCAGGGCAGGGAGTCTTGTTTATTAAGGAAGCTAGAAGCTGTGGTCTGAGAGCCCATTTACAGTGGATGCGTTTTGAAGAGCACCTTCCTTGTAGATCAACTGAAGGAAACCCTGTGAGAGGAAGTCCCCAAAGCCATGATTGGGGAGTCCTGGGGGGCAATGGTAAGGTGCTCAGCTGCTAACCAACAGTCAAACCCACCAGCTGCTCAGGGGACAAAGCATGGCCATCGCTCACAGGAAGAGGCCAGCATAGGCACATAGACGGGGCAGGTCTACTCTGCCCTCGAGGGTCGCTATGAATATGAATCAACTTGGGAGCACCCAGCAACATCATGCTGGCACTGCCCAGGGAAGAGTTTCAGGGATAACTGCATCTTCCCTGCTCCCCAGCCCTAGCTGGGTCCAGAAAGAGCAGGGTTGGAGCCATGGGTGATAGGGCAGCATTGGGCTAAGTTGTGGGTGTATGGGTACAAAGATGTCTGAGGAAACATAGCTATAACGGTCACAGCGCAACACAGGGCCTTGTGCACGGCTCTCTTTCAAAATCCCATGAAAAGCCTTGTGTTCTGGGAGAAGAGAATGTGACTATGTTATGCCCCTTCAGAAAGCTCCTTTTCTGTTTGAGAAACTACAGGTGCCACTGACCGACCTCCAATGAACCCCCGCCTCTCTGGCCCTTGGTCTCCCCATTTGGTCCATGAGGAGATTGAGTGGCTGTAAACTGTTAGAATTCCAAGAGGTGACTTCTGGGTGTGCTTCTAGTTGGGCCAGGAGCCACTGGGGCTCAACAACTACTTCTCCTGCAGAGGCCGGGAAAGGAAAGACTGAGTCTTGGGCACAAGCTCTGGACTTGACATTTCATTCAAAGCACAGAACAAACCAAGCGAGACAGATAGAACTAGTTCCCTGATGGAAGAGGTCGTTGAGGTTCAGGGAGGTGTGGGGGCTTGTCTGGGTTCTCATAGTTAAAAAGTAGAGAACTAGAGTGGAACTCAGTGCCAGCCTGTTTGAGCCTAGCAAGCATGCCCACAGACACATCAGGAAGACAACGTCCAGAACTAATCAAACTGCATAGACTTTTGACCGTTTGGACCCATCCTCTCACCGCCCTTTCTCCCTCTGCCATAAGGGTTTAGTCTTGCTGTCAACTATTCCGCAAAGCCCTGGTGCCTGTTCCCTCACCAGCAGTGGTGTTTTCTATCCCAGGGAAGTTACAGAAGTAAAAACTCCATTCGGACCCATGGAGCGGAAAACCACCGGCACCTGCTCTACGAGTGCTGGGCCTCCTGGGGGGTGTGGTATAAGTACCAGCCTTTGGACCTTGTAAGGTGAGTTTTTAACTGGCTGCAAAGACACAACTAGTACAGAGTGAGTAGGGCCAACTGCCAGCAGAGATGAGCCTGTGTGGAGAAAAAGGTCGGAGGTACACAGCTCTTGCTCAAGCCTGGCTTCTTCCCAAGAGGGCAACTCGCTAGGGAGCTGTGGGCCACTTGGTAGACCAGTTCTCCCTCTGATGATGGCATTTTCTTCAGCAGAACTTGAAGAAGAGTCCACAAGGGAGCTCTGAAGGGGTTTCAAAAGCCCAGAGAAATCCCATTCTCTTTTCATTCCATTTTTCCACAAACTCTCTGAAGCCCCTTTGGGTATGAGACCCATCAAGTAGCCTGTAGGACTGCACCAGGAACAGGTCTTAGAAAAAGTTTCCACAGCTTAGAGATGTGAGAAATAAGATAAAATGCACTAACACTATGCAAGTCAGAAAGCTAAGGTGCTGTGATTTTGATGAATTTTGGAGTTGTTTTTATTACAAATTATTTATTTTAAAAGCTTAGCCATTTAATATACACAGTTTAAATGAAAAATTAAAAGGCTGTTTTAATCTCCAGGTCATAAAAAACCTATCAACTTTTAACCTATGCTAATTTTGCAGTGAAAGTGTATGTCTTGAAACTTTCTCTATCTGCCCAACTCTTTGCCAGAGCCAAACTATTCTCTGACATCTTATTCATGGAGAGGCTGTTTGTTAAGATGGAGTAATAATGGTCCACACTTCACGGGTTCCTTGTTAAGGAGAAATCATGTCTCATTTCCCAGACCAGTTTTACTTGTTTCCCTTTTACTGGGACCCTAAAAAATTTGAACGTGGGGTGGGGGGTGGGAGGTTGATGATAAGACATCTCATTTTCCATTTCATCTCCCTGGAGAGGCATTCATCCTTCCAAAACCCGTTCCCTGGTTAGCTAGTGTTCACTCCTGCGAATCCAAGGGCAGTGATGGATTGTGCCCTCTTCTGTGCGTTGGCGACAAATGACCTGTAGGATCTGGGTGAGTGGAGAATATTTTCTGAGATGAGATCATTTGCCTAGGACTGGTCACAATGCATGATAAAGCCGTGGAGGGGCTAAAAATAAAAACAAATTCTCTTCCCAGACTCAGTCGCATATTATAGTAGTGTCTTGATTAAACATTCCAGAAAATTGCTGCAGGCAAAACATCGCCCATCAATGAGAGTATTTTGATTAAGATGCGGTTGGTCAATGAGTCTTAATTAAGCACCTACTGTGTTTCTAGTGCTGTGCTAAATACTGTTGGCAAAGACAAATAGAAGCCATGGTCTCTGGCTTCAGGGAACTCAGCGTTTCTTTTCAGGACAACAAGCTTCATTACTTCGGACAGCTAGAAAGCAACACAGGACCATCTGCAATGAGGACGGTGTGTGACAGAGCCCAACCATTTTACAATGGTTCACACAAAGGAAAAGGATGGGTGTCGGCCGGCGTCTCTGTGGAAGGGAGGCTTTGCAGATCTGAGCCCTGGAAGAATCCCTGTGTTGGCCAACAGGAAGAAGAATGGAAAGGCCAACCAAGCCTTGACTAGAAGACAGTTATAGAGCACTATGGGAGTCATGGCTTAAACGGTTCTTGTTCTCTTTGTTCCTTGTTCTCAAATCGGACCACATTTTGGCGTCTCCTACATCCCTGCCTTTATCTGTAGCCCGAACTATGGCAAGAGTCCTCTGTACTCGATTTCTCTTTTCCCCCACTAGTCCCGCTTCCCATCTATTCTTCAACTGACTCTCACAGTGATCTTTTCAGAATATGAACCTGATCATGCCCTCAACTGGTTAAAACCGTTGATGGTTTTCACACAGAACAACGCATTCCGCCTGGCCTACAGGAATCATGGAGTCCTTGGGTGATGCAGATTCAGCTGCTGCTGATGAAGTTGGATGGGTTGAGTCCACCCAGACATGCCGCCAAAGATAGGCCTGGTGATCTGCTTCTGAACGCCAACCCACTGAAGACCCTAGGACAGTGGTTCTCAACCTTCCTCATGCTGCGACCCTTTCATACAGTTCCTCATGTTGTGGTGACCACCGCCCCCCCAACCATAAAATTATTTTCGTTGCTACTACTTAACTATAATTTTGCTACTGTTATGAATCGGGCAACCCCTTTGAAAGGGTCGTTTGACCCCAAAGGGGCTGGGACCCACAGGTTGAGAACCGCTGCCCTAGAGAGCAGTGGTTCTACTCTGACACTCATGGGGTCATGCATTGGAGTCCGCAGTGACTGCTTTGCCTATAAGGTCCACCCTCCATTTCTCCAGCCACCTCTTATTCTCCATGTTCCAGCTGCATGGTCCTTATTTCGCCCGATCCTTCCGAACACGTGGTCTGGGGTCTTCGTATATAATGTTCCTCCTGCCAGAACACTCTCCTGTCTCCATCCCCACCTGGCGGATTCCTGCTCATCAGCCCCGTGGTCACTTCCTCAGCAAAGTCTCCCTGACTAGAGTGATCAGATGCTCTTGTTAACATATTTTTGTAGAATCATTCTACTTCTGTCACTCTTTTCTCAAGTTTGTAATTATAAACTTGAGTGTAATTGATTAACGTGCATCTTCCCTTCCAGCCAGAGAGCCCCACGAGAGCAGGAGCTAAGCTCATTTTGCTCACCATTGTGTTCTCAGCACTTAGCACAGTACTGGGCACAGAATAGATGCTTGTTATTTGCTGACTGCATAAATGAATAGAGGATTTCATAGACGCACAGTGGAAGATGGCGTAAATAAATAATCCTATGCTTTTAGGCGTAAATAAATAATCCTAATCACCCCAGGAGGAGGGCAATAAATGGTATTTGGTAACAGATGCTCAACATATATTTATATAGCATGGTAATTAAAAAATTAGATAATTCTTAAATTACACTAAGAAATATTGAACTTTGAAATTGTAAAATGTAGCTGTTAAAGTGTGAAAAGCAGTTTGGATTTTATTCCAACACAAGGTGATCACATTAACAATGACATTTAAGGAATAAAGGAAAACCGAGAAACTCCCTGGACACTTGCAAACTTCACAGGTCACTGGGTGCCAGGCAGCAGTCTAATCTCAAGTGTGAGACAACAGAAAAATCTTTATAGAAATAGATGGTAATGTCTGTGCCAAGACATCACAAAAGATGAAGATTTGCTTTCCATCATTGGCTTATCTTCGAGCTTAATAGTTTCTAGAATTATTTTCCTTCTAATATTCCATGAGTCTACCATTGTAAACATCTGGTAAAGCTACAAAATATTGAAAGAGATGCATAAAGGTTTTCACAGTAGCTCTGTTTCCTGTTTTGAGAGACGCAGATGAGAGTGCACACCTAGAGATGTACACGCTCCCTTGGGAAGGAGGAAGCTGAGCCTATGTGTGGGCGTCAACTCCTCGAATTCCCCTGGTTTCTTATTCACCAGGGGTTCTTAGTTCCTGAGGAGTCTCTTTGTTCTGAATAAATTTGTGTGTCGTGTCCTTTTATGGAAGGGCTAGACTATATTGCTTCGGTAGAGTCATAGAAGAGGGAGCTGCTTCACTTTACACACTTCACCATCACTTGCAAGGTCATTGTGTCTCAAACAGGCGGTACTTTGGAGAGAAGATCGGCTTGTATTTTGCCTGGCTGGGCTGGTACACCGGCATGCTCTTCCCAGCTGCCTTCATTGGACTCTTTGTGTTTTTGTATGGAGTCACCACTCTGGATCACTGCCAAGTCAGGTACGGGGGCTCTTTAGTAAGCCTGACTTTTGCTGAGCATTTACCAAAGACTTTTTGGGGCTTGGGGGTATCCAACACTATGGATTTAGATCCCCAGGTTGACTTCCCCTCCCAATCTCTCGTAGAAAAGTCCAGGTGGGTCATTCCCCTAGCTTCCCATTGTCAGGGGTGCTGTGATCTTTGGCTACTTGTGAAGTCAAAGTGGTAGCTCAGTGGTGGAATTCTCACCTTCTAGAAGGGGCACCTGGGTTCAGTTCCTGAGTGATAGCACTCACACCCAACCACGGCCCATTTGTCAATGGGCGCTTATGTACTGCTTTGATGTAGAACTGGTTTCAGCAGAGCTTTGGGTCTAACAGACTAGGAAGACAGACTTGGCGATCGGATTCTAAAGCCCAGCCTATGAAAACCCTGTGGATCCCACCAGGCTGATCCACAGCTGTTTGTGGGAATAGCGCAGGTCCAGGCCTTACGCCATGCCCTTGTGTATATGGAGCCCCCATAAGTCAAGGGCCAACTTAATGGCAGCTAACAAGAATCCATGATACATCCCCAAAACAAATGACTTCTATCCGCCAGCAAAATGAGTCTCTTAAATCTTTCATCATAGTTCTTTCAACTACCACTAAAAAATACCGGGGTAACCATCCTTTTTTTATGAATCCTGTTTTTTTCAAACCTCAGCCAAAAAACATCTCCCCACCTTGCTGACGCCTTGAGAATGGTTCAGTGGGGAGAATGGTTCTTGTTACTCTCACCAGAACATAGCTTTAAGGTATCCGTGGAGATTTTATTGCAATAAAATAATGAATGTGGCTTTTAAAAATTATGACAAAAATAAGAGAGAGAGAAATGGAGCCTACCACCTACAAAAAAAATCATTTATGTTCTGGTGAAATTGTTAACCAGATGCCAATTTCTCCCAGAACTAATATCCCTGGTTATTTTGAACTTATTCTCTATTCTTCCTTTTAATTCATCATACACACAAGTAAGGGCAGCACTGTTCCTTAGCTCACATTCCGTAGTTCAATCTGAAATGACTTCAAACCTGTGAAACATTAGGGATGATTTAGGGGTAATATGGCACATAACCACCAATGCTTTTGTGTATTTCCTTGAGTTTAACATATTAATGTGGCAAGCCAAGAAACAGCCTCATAAAAAAGTAAGCTTATCAAATTATAAAAGTGTGTAGGCCCTTGTTTACATTAACAGCACATGGGGCGCTGAAGCTTCTGGGGGCAGAACTGCAATCTACTGAACCTTATCAGTTGAACAGTTTGGTTCATTTGGAGGAGGGAGAAAGGCTCTTTTGCCATCAAATAGCAGTCATTTCTCTGTTCTCTTTTCCAGTAAAGAAGTCTGCCGAGCTATAGATATCGTCATGTGTCCTGTGTGCGATAAATACTGTCCGTTCATGAGGCTGTCAGACAGCTGTGTTTATGCCAAGGTAATTTCAAATATGGAGCATTTTAGATGGATTGAATTTAACTTTCTCTCTTTTCATATATAGCTGTGCATAGGCCTATATTCCTATCATTATATATTAATATAGTTATATATGTACATGCCTATATGTATACCTCTATTAATGTCTTTTGCCTCCTAGTTCTTTCCTCTATTTCCTTTTACTGTCCTCCTGCCCCACTATCATGTTTGACCTTCATTCGGCTCTCAGTACTTCCTCTCGGCTACTTTGCCCTTGATTGAACCCCACCAGGAATTCTATGCCCTCCTCACCACACCTTTCTCCCACCGAGAGGCTGGTGGGTTTGAACCATTGGTTAACCTTTCGGTAGCCGCCCAGTGCTTGAACCACTGTACCACCAAGACTCCCATATTGAGCACAATGCTTGGCTAATGGTATGACCTCAGTAAGTAGCAGAAGCCACCATTTCCCTCCTCTTTGTCATTATTGTCAAAAAGACCTAAATTTAAGCCCTCCCTCAGCCACTTGCCACCTTGACATTGGACAGACTCAGCCTGTGAGCCTGAGCTGCCTCATCTCTGAAATACAGGCAGTGGCACCTATCCGTTCTACCCCATGGCATGTCCTGAGGAGGGCAATAGAAGAGAGGCAATGAGGAAGTGCTTTGAATGAGACAAATAAACAGCGCCATGATTTCTAATCTGTCATTGCTCATAGTATGGCTTTATGAAAATTGTAGATGCTTCCATCAAATTCCTAGAGTGTGTCCTTTTTGTGTTGTTTTAACTAGAGGGGAAGTCACTTATGCAAAATAGTATGGGAGTTTGGGCGGGTTGCTCTATTGATAAGGTCTTTTCACAGATCCGCTGGCTGTGAGCTTGCACGGGTTCACAGTAGAGAAAGAGGATTGGCAGATTGGTACCTCTATGATCACTGAAGCTCCGGTTTGTCCAGTCATTCTGTTGGCATTGCGTACATTTGTGTATTTTAAATGTGAGAACATTTTGATAGGCGCCTGTGGAGGTGGCCAGTTTGTGTGGGAGGAACCACTGCAGTCAGCTATGATTGTAGAAAGGTCTGGACTCTCAGTATCTGCTGGAAGGACCGAAACAGACAAGGTGATCTCCCTGTGAATACACTGGTACAATTAGACTAGTGAGTAAGAAGAAATTGAGAAGATGACCTTGGAAAGTATAAACTTGCTGTGTTAGGCTAGGTTGACTAGAGAAATCCAGAGACACTCATGTGTGTAAGAAAGAGCTTTACATGAAAGAGCAATCGTATATTGAGAAAACATCCCAGCCAAGTTCATAAATCCGCTGTTAGCCCATATGTCCGATACTAGTCCATAAATTCCTCTTCGGATTCACGCAGCACTACTTCCAAAAGACCAGTCATTGAAAACCCGCAAAGCACAACTTCCAGGTAGATGCTAGCCTTCCCACTTTATAAATGGGGAAAGAGACTCAGAGAGGTAAAAGTTGTGCAGCCATGGTCACACAGCAGTAAGTAGCTGGGCCAAGCTTATCTTTAATACTCAGCCATGCTGAACTACAAGGTGTTTAACTTCTAGATGGGTGTTTCCCAAAATGTACCATACTGCCTGCGGGACGGCGGGGAGGGGGTTGTGGAATGATCCCAAGGGGCTGCAAAAACAGATGCTTACACTTTATCTCAGATTGGGGCCTATACTACCAAAGTTTTTTAATTGGCAGCAGTGGGGCACTGAGTGTTGTTCTGTTTTGTTTCCGAATAGGAGGCTGTGGGCCATATAGCTCTTAGATCTATGTTCTCGAAGTAAGATTCAGTCTGGATAGGAAATTTAGTAAAATGATGGCACAGTGGTTAACGTTGGGCTGCTAACCACAAGGTCAGCAGTTCAAAACCACCAGCTGCTCCATGGGAAAACAGATTATGCCTTGTAGTCCCATTAATAGAGTGGTAGCAAGTGTACAATTCTACTTGTCGTGATTGAATGATATGTTATATGTATTAAAACCCAACTAATAAAATATAAAATAAATTTTTTTTAAAGAGTTACAGTCTGGGAAACCCACAGGGGCAGTTCTTCCCTGTCCTATAGAGACACCATGAGTTAGAATCGCCTTGCTGGCAGGGAGGGACTAACAGAAGTTCAAACGGCTCAGAGAGGTAGAATTACAAGTCTGTCAGTGTAGCCCGGCATCCCTACATGCTGCCGCTCCAGCAAAGGGCCTCTTTGCTCAGAGCTTTGCATCTAAAACAAAGTAGTTTATGGAGACGGCATCCTTCCTGAGCAGTAATATGCTAGCCTTGGGGCTTAAGAAGTATAGGACTATGGGATGAATGCCCAAAGGCAGCTAGCCAGTCAGCACCTGCTGTGTTAGTCTGGGTAGACTAGAGAAACAAACCCAGAGACACTCATATGTGTATAAGAAAGAGGTTTATATACAAGAGCAACTGAATATTGAGAAAACATCCCAACTCAGTCCAGATCAAGTCCTTAAGTCCGATATTAGCCCATATGTCTGATACCAATCTACAAAGTCCTCTTCAGACTCATGAAAGACGTGCAATGACACCAAATGCAGGAATATCACAGACCAGTGGTTGCAAAGTCTTATGGATCCAGTGATGGTAGAAGCATCTCGGCGCAGCCTCGGTCTCCATGTGGCTCCTCCAGTTCTCAGGGCACAGGGTCTATCAGTGTAGTGCTATGTATCTCTTCAATAGAGCGTCTCAGGGAGTGAGCAGAGAGAGAGTGTGTCTCCTGCCTCCAAGGAGGAAATACAGGAGTTCCCAGAATTCTCAGGAGAAGGCCATGCCCACACAGAGGCCTCATTGGCTATGACCCAATTGACAGTCTAGACTCCACGCCTTCAAGACTCCATGCCTCCACTCTTAATCCTTTCAAGTCCCAAATGGACCCCAGATTATGTAACTACCACACCTGCCTACTTTAGACTCTTCAGCCAACAGGCCTTTCAGCATCCCTGATGTCACCCTGAGAACCCTAGCCCCCCCAGCTTGGCTGCTGTAGATGACTTCTGAAGAACAGGGAGCTCGGATTGCCCTGAGACTCTGTGACAAAGAGTCTAGAACAGGACTTAGCTATTCTCCCGCCTGTGCTCTCACGGCCGGAGGACTGCCACCTCACTGACAACCCCCCCCCCAACTCCCACTGCCCCCACACACACCAGCTTCACCGCTATGCCTGTGTATGAACACATCCCAACCCAAGGAAACCTTAACCCTCCTCTGAGGCTTATCAGGGACTTGTGTTTGTGTTTTGTTAGCTCCAGAATCGACCGTGTTCCTTCTCCGGTGACTTTTGGCAGGGACAGCCATCAACCTGTGCTAGCTCACCTTCTTAGTAAGAACCAGAGTCCCCTAGTGATTCAACCTGCATGACTCAGTTCAACATCCGTGATTCACATATTCCCCAACTCTAACAGGGAGAAGAAAAAAAAGTCTCTCTCCTGGGGAAAGACTAGTTGGTTCTATTTGAGTTGTGTGACCCGCAGGGGAGAACCCCGTTATCTGGAGAAGTAGGGAGAAGAGAAGGTAGCCAGATCAATGACAACCAGAATCTATTCCAGAAATGGCACTAATGGTGTAGGCTGCAAGTCAATACTCTGATAGAAAACACAAACCATTTCTACTGACTCCAAGTCAGTACCCTAGAAGACAAAGCAGACCCACCAGGCAGCAGTGGAGCTTCCAGCTCCGGTGCTCAGTGCTCAGCTCCCAATGTGCCGCCTACCGCTCCCTCTGGCCTATGAAATAATAGGCTTCAGACCTTTGTCCCCTGCTAGATGTCTGACGTGTGACTCATCTCTCCTATGTTAAAAAACCCAGGAGGCATAAGCTTTTGGAAGCATCTGCACCACTCTGTATCACCAGGAAAAGATCTGTTGATATGTAGCATTCTCTAAGGGCCAGTAAAGGAGGCTTTTAGAGTACTTTAAAATACCCCCCCAAAATAAGTTATGTGTTATGAAGGTATCAGTCATCATTTCAATTTGTCTTGGGCATCGTTGTGATTTGTACTGGAGGCAGAAATGAGGCTGGCAGTTTTGCACCGAGAAGAGATATTTTTGCTTTATGCTGTGGTTTTTGCAATAGAATATATTATCCTAGCAATAAAGTTTTTGCTAGCTGTCTGTGTGTGATATGTAGTAGGTAAATAACGTGATTACCCAAGGCTCTAATACAGGTGAAAGTGGATTTTGTTAATGGCTCTTCTCTCTCCTTTATAATGGTGAAATGCAGAGGGCAGTCCAGAAAATGTTGACTCAAAACGACAGACAAAATAGCCATGTTTCCCACGTGAATTCCTAGGGACCTCGTGGGACTATGGCCGCGCGTCTGACTCCAAAGTGAATTCATGAGAAGTTAACATCAGTGCTTGGCAAATTGGAAACTTTTAAGCAGCAGCATTACAACCATCCTGATCTTAAATATCCCCTATGCTTATGTCCCTGCACCCAGGCTTTTGTACAGCACACGTGGGGGCTGCAGATAGACAGTCCACTTGGCAATGTTCCCATAACAGGAACAGGTTCTCTCGTTTACATCTGAACTCCTTCACGGCAAAGGGGTGCCCTTTTACATTCTGGTTCAGCGCTGCTATCCCTAAAGAAACTCTGTAGCACACACTCGGTCGTGACTGCTGTGTTCACGGGCCGGGAGAAAGGCCTGCATTGGAATCTCACATGTTCACTGTGGTGCATATTGTTCCAGGTAACCCACCTTTTTGACAACGGAGCCACTGTCTTCTTTGCTGTTTTCATGGCGGTGTGGGGTAAGTGTTCCGTGAGGTGAGTTCCCATCCTCTGTGCTCCTTAGGAGTCTGATGGGACGGTACAGGGAAAGGTCCGAACACGCCGAGTTCACCTTTCCCCAAGAGGCAAGCTAGTATAGACTCGTTTGGTTTCTTTTCAATACTGTAGAGGAGAAGCCTGGGTCTTGTATCTGTTTGCTTTGATCCTTCAAGAATTTGAACAGCACTCCATTATTGGAGTAAAATTTGCCTCCTGTGATCAACAGATATAAAAGTTCTTGCACTGGCAGAAGCTCTGGCCCTGGCAGAAGATGCCCATTTTGGTATAGACAAGAGGGCTTCAAAAAGCTCATGGGAAAATTCCCCTACCCTTTCATTCCCTTTGTCCAGAACTTTCTGAAACCCCCTCACATAGGACTTTCTATTGTGAGTGGAAACTTCTTCCATCTGGCTCATGTCTAAGGACCCACCACTGCCTTTCTTCCAACTCTGGTCATCATGACCCCCTATTAGCAAGAGCCATGTGAGGGACTGGACTGAATTTTGCTATTTCAGTTCATAACAGTGTTGTTACTGTAGGGAGTCATCCAAGAGAGGCAATATCTCCATAGTAACAGGGTGCAGTAGGAACATGCAAATCTTTGGAAGTAGCAGGACTTGGTTCAAATCCCAACTTCACCACTTTATAGGTTGTGTGACTTTAGGAATTTACTAATCCCACCTCTTTGTAATTGGGTTTAATTAAATCTATAGAGCCAAATAATAACCAAATATTTAATTTAATAGTATATAAAACATCTAGAGGAATTAATACTAAACAGAGTATCGAGAGATAAACTTTTTTCAGCTATTTTTAGTATGATTTGATTTTTTAAGAACATTTTATTAAGGGCTCTTATAGCTCTTGTAACAATCCATACATCTATTGTATCAAGCACATTTGTACATATGTTGCCATCATTATTTTCTAGACATTTGTTTTCCATTGAGCCCTTGGTGTCAGCTCCTCTTCCCCACCCCCACCCTCATGGCCTCTTGATAGATTATAAATTATTATTATTTTC